ATGAATGTAAAGCTAATGTTCTCCCATGTAAACGATCACATAATTCACAATGAAAATTGCATGGCTAAAGCATGAAAATGTATTTTTATTTATCCCAAGAAAAATAAATCTGAGAGGAAACTAGTAATTATCAATAATGGGAAACCCACAAGCCTTTTGAAATGTGTTTGAGTAGATCTGTACTAAGCATTTGAAAATATAATTTGAAGATCATTTAGCATTTTTGCCCCCAAAATTAAAATAGCTACGTAATAAGAAAACATTTAGATATTCCATAATAAAAATTACTTTAGCAATATTCTAAAATTCTAAGATATTCAGGATATCTTACCCAACTCAAAGAAATATTGAAAAAAAATTCAGTCCATCAAAATAGAAAATAATTTCAGAAACAGCACTAAAACCTTTTAGACAAATATTGCTTCAATCTACTTCATTTTGTACTCCTACTCTTCTAAGGGGCTCTGTGAATTACATCAGTAATGGTTTGAGATGAGCAATGGTTTAACATGGAAAAAAGTTACATTGTCGACATGCAATTCAAAACAGCTTCTTATAATGCTTACGGATAATAAATAGTATAACATTAGTTTATAATTTTTTTAACTTGACCCACAACAAGAAATATATTCTACTTTGCAACCCTCTACACTCATGATTATAATGTACATGTAAACAAATGCCATGCAACAGTACCTACTCTTACTACTGCCTGCTATTTTACATTATTATTCTCTTCATAAAATGCTGGTTGATAATCACTAAACAAATATCCTGGTTCACTAAGGGCCTTAACCTGCAATGTAAAAATCATTAGTAAATCTTATAGTTTAGAAAAGTATATCAAACATGCACATACTTTGATTGTGTCGGAACCCAACAACGACTTTGGGGAACTCGAAGGAACCTCAGAAGAATGCTGAAAAAGAAAGGACAAGCATATGATACAGCTTCTAAAGTAGACAGAAATGAAGAGAAGCAAAGCAAATTTTTGAAATGCACAGTCTAGTCTAAGGCATTACCATAGACAAGGAATCCTGTAAGACCTTATCAATGGTAGCACAGAGCTCCTCAGTTTGTTTTCTGAGCTGTGCAGGGAAACACAACTGAAAAAATTGAAACCAGGTACTGAGTTAGCAATGAGTTTTGGATTGCACATCAAAAGTAAGGTTGATCTGAAGTCATTACCTCCAAAGGCGAGTCTAGCTCGTTGTCCTTGAAGACACTTTCATTCTTGACTGGTTCATCTAATGCCTAGTGATAAATGAAATAGTTCTCATATGAGGTTACTAGTCAAATGTAAATGTCTCTTCAAAACGAGTAATCTAGCTGAAAGAGAAGCAGTCAAAGAAAGATACACTTAATCACATTCTGTATACCTCAATACTTCCAATGACAACAATTATCTTTAAATCATTTGATGAATTATTCCACAAATATTATTCCACAAAAATATCGAGCTATTTTCCACAATATCTCATTGCCTCTTGTGGAATTAATATCTCTATTATATTAATGCATGGAATCCTGGTATAGCACTACAGGATAATGCAGCAGACCTCAAGGTCAGTTTGAACTGTAAGGTCGGTGGCTCAAATCCTCCAGCTGATCACTGGAAACTCTAACAGTGTCTCTATGAGTCAAACCATCTCGATGGCACCTAACAACAATAACAATTCTATGTATGCAGGGAGCATAGTGATGCCATATGATTAGCACTGGGCAAGGAACCACAAGCAGGTACAGGTGAGTATACATGTGTGCATAGATAACAGTAGATGTACATGTACAAACAGATATGTGTGTGTACACACATCTACTCATTAATAACACAGTTAAAAATACTTCTGAGATACAATATAAACATTTTGAAAGAATGTTTTTCTGGGTTTGAAGCCTTGCTCTCGTGGGACAACTTAGTCAATTGGCAGTACAAAGTATACATTCTTTATCCTGATGAGGTGAATAGCATCTGAGATCTTAAAAGCTTACAAGCGACCATCTAAGATACAACTAATGGTCTATACTTCTTAGAACCTTAGAGAAAGAAGGAAATCTCAGAGAAGAAACTTCTGTGCAGGGCTAATAGCCTACACAAATCACAATCTCATTTACCTTCTGAGAGCAGAACTAGATGGTGCCTAACTACCATCACTATCTGTTCTAATGAGGGCCACAAACCATGGACCCAGACAAAATGTAAGAAAAATGTAGAAGAATTCAAATTCTTTAAAAATCCAGACTTTCTGGACCAGTTTACACTAAAGGGCTTCCTGAGATCTTGATGCTCAAGAACCTGATATACTCTTTCTTTAACCTTGAACCAAAATTGTTCCGTGAGTCACATTTTAGCTAAATCATTGATTGGCACACAAAATAAGATATTGCTCATGACAATGAGCCTTCATTATAAAAACACATCTTTATGAGACCAAAAAGTCAAAAGTTACTCTGTAGCAAGGATGAGAATCCAAAGGAAGTAGGGAAACTAGAGTACAGGAAAGAAAACAATCAGAATGCAATTAATGGAATGTTGACATGTAAAAAATATAACTAATGGCACTGAGCAACTTGTGTAGAAATTGTCAAATTGGAATCTAATTTTCTATATAAACTTTTTTCAAAAACACTAAATATTTTTTTAAATCCCAATCCAATTCCTGTGTAATGTTATGCTTGGCCCTCACACAAGGTAGTGTGTTACCCACTGCTTGAGTCACTATAGAAATTTGCACACAATTTAAGCATATTTTATTTTATAAACTTGTTTTCAGATGCTTCCCTGACTTAGCTAGCTTTCATGCTTTACAATTTCACCTATTACAGTCAGGGAAATGCAGTATTTATCTTCAAGTCTTCAAGATTGAACTCATGAGAGGAGCTCAGTAAAGATCTCCATGATACAATGAAGGGTGAACTCATGAATAAACCCAAAATCTACTGCCATCGAATAAATTCCAACTCATAGTCACTCTATGATACTGACTGGAACTGCCCCATATGGTTTCCAAGGCTCCACCATGGCTCCTGAACTGATGAATTGTTGTTGTTGTTGTTGTTAGGTGCTGTTGAGTTGGTACCAACTCATAGTGAACTTATGCACAATAGAATGAAACACCGCTCCGTACCCCAGTCTCACAATCATTGCCATGCTTGAGCCATTGCTGCTGCCACCGTGCCAATCCATCTCGCTGGGGGTCTTTCTCTTTTTTGCTGACCCTCCACTTCACCAAACATTATATCCTTCTCCAGGAACTAGTCCCACCTGATAATATGTCATGAGAAATGAAGTCTGGCTATTCTGGCTTCTAAGGAGCTTTCTGGCTATAATTCTCCAAAAACAGATTTGTTTGTTCTTCTGGCAGGCCAGGATACTTTTAATATTATTCTCCAACAGCATAACTCAAATACATCAATTCTTTTATGGTTTTCCTTATTCATTGTTTAACTTTCACATGCATATGAAGTTGTTGAAAATACCATGGCTTCGGTCAGGTGCACCTTAGTCCTTAAACTGATATATTTGCTCTTGAACATGTTAAAAAGATGCAGGAGATTTGTCCAATGCAATATGCTGATTGATTTCTTGACTCCAGCTTCCATGAGTGTTGATGGCTGATTTGATCAAAATTAAATCTTTCACAACTTCATTTTTTTTCTCCATTTATATGGATGTTGTTTATTTGTCAATTGGTGAGAATTTTTGTCTTCTTTACATTGAGATGTAACCCATATCAACAATTAAGTGTTCCGGAATATTCATTCTCTGCAATGTTGTCCATACTTGTCATTATCAACACAATCGAAAGCCTTTGAGTATTCAACAAAGCTCAGGTAAACATCTTTCTGGTATTCTCCATTTTTAGCCATGATCCATCCTTATGTCAACAATGATATCCCTCATTCCATATCCCTGTCTGAATGCAGCTGGAACTTTTGGCAGCTCGCTATCAATAATTTCAGCAAAATTTTATTTGCATGCAATATTAATGATATTATCTGATGGTCACCTTTCTTTGGAGTGGGCACACATATGGATCGTTTCCAATAACTTGGTCAGGTAGTTAGCTTGGTCTCCTAGATTTCTTGGCATAGGTGAGTGGATGCCTCTAATGCTGTGTCAGTTTGTTGAAAGATTTCAATTTGTATTCCATCAATTCCCAGAGATTTGTTCTTTGCCTGTGCCCTTAGCGAATCTTGGGCTTCTTCCTTCAGTATTGTTGGATTTGATGATTTGCTACCTCTTGTGATGGTTGAACACCAACCATTTCTTTTTGATACAGTGACTCTGCTATTCTTTCCAACTTAAATAACCATGAAAGAAATAACACCTCATTCTCCTGAAAAAATATTCAATGTTCTTTAGCTTTTTAAAGTAGAAATCTCTCTCTTTCTCCAGATTTTTGAGGATACACTTCAATACGTTGCCTTCTGCATCATTTAGGCTACTTCATCATCCCCATTACCCACATCTGGATTCCTTTACATCACTCCTGGGTTAGACTTAGAAGTTGCAGTAGTTCTCTGTGTTGAAATGGGCCTCTGTGGAGCTGCACTGCTATGCTGAGAGTTTTTTTTTGGTTTATTCAGAGCTGGAGCAACAAGGGAAAGGGCCACAGCCATTTCTTGACCTGTGTAGTCTGGAAGCTACAGGGTCATAGTCTTTTCCATCATACTTTGCATCAATTATTTCTCTTAAAACCTGCTTGTAGAATTTTGAAATCCTGGATATATTCATGTTATAGCTTAGTTTGAAATTTCACTTTGTTCAAGGCAATGGAGCCAGGGAAAAGCATGTCCATAAACTGACAGTAAGCAACCCCTGAACACAACTATTCAATCTTTGTAAGATTCAACTTGAAGAGACTCATTGATCTAAGCCAGAATGTCATGTTGACTTAGGTTACTACTGGTGACCGAAGATGAATATACATTCAATGCCATCTTCAGCTCTTGCTGAACCACATCCAGTGCCCAAAGTCAACTTGGGTCCCATCTTCATCTCATTCAAACCACCCTCCCCTGCCCAACACCCCCACAATAGGCTCCTGTGTGATGTTCTTGATGTCATCCTACAACTTTTCTAGTCATCAGTTAGTCATTAGTGACTAATTTATTAAATCTGTTCTTGAAACGATCTCTAAATTCAGGTGGGATATGTTCAAGGTTATATTTTGGCTTTGGTAGACTTGTTTTAATGTTCTTCACCTTCATCCTGAATTTGCATATGAGCAATTGATGGTCTATTCCACAGTTTGTCCCTGGTCTTGTTTGGACAGATGATATGAAGCTTTCTCATAATTTCTTTCCACAGATGTAGTCAATTTGATTTCTGGTATTCCATCTAGTGACATCCATATGTATAATCATCTTTTATGTTCTTTAAAACAGGTATTTGCAATGAAAATTTGCAAAATTTTCTTACAAAATTCTATCACACGATCTCCAGCATCTTTTCTAGCAACAAGGCCTTATTTTCTAACTACTGATCCTTCCTCTTTGTTTCCAACCTTTGCATTCCAATCTCCAGTAGTAATCAATACACCTTTGCATGTTTGGTCAGTGTCAGACTGAAAAAGTTGGTAGAATTCTTCAATTTCATCATCATTGGCTTTAGTGGTTATTGTATATATTTGAATAATAGTTGTATTACCTGGTCTTTGTTGTAGCCATATGGATATTATCTACATACAACCTTGTACTTCAAAACAGATCTTGAAACATTCTTTTTGATGATGAATGTGATACCATTCATGTTATTGTCAGATACAAAATGACCAATACTAGTCCATTTCAGCTCACTAGTGCCTAGGATATTGATGACTATGTGTTCCATTTCATTTTTAACAACTTCCAATTTTCCTAGATTCATACTTCATAAATTTCATGTTCTGATTATTAATGGATGTTTACAACTGTTTCTCCTCATTTTGAGTTGCGCCTCATCAGAAAATGAAGGTCCTAAAAGCTTTACTCTCACCATCACAGTCGACTCTACTTTGAGAAGGCATCTCTCCCCAGTCTTAGTTTGAGGGCCTTCCAACATGAGGGGCTCATTTTCTGGAACTATACCTGACTATAGTCTTTTGCTCTTCATCATGTTTCAATATTGAATATTCTAACAGTGTTGCATTACTATTCATTTTGTTTTCACTACTAAATATTCACAAGTAATCTATCTCTCCTGCCTAGCCTGTCTTAGTCTGGAAGTTCAGCTGAAACCTTTCCACCAACGGTGACCATGATGGTATTTA